CTGAAACAAATTGGACCGTTCCCGGTCCCTAGCTACTTCTCTCTCTTCCCGCCCGGTCGTTGTTACGGACGACACGGTGTTCGAGTTAAGAGAGTATGTATGTGAGTATGTATTCATTGTCTCACCGACCTGTCGCTCCGTGGTTTACCATGTGTTCCCTTGTTGCTCTTTCTCCTGGCGGCTGACTTCACCGTTGGCGGTTTCCCTGCGGCTTTTACAATCTCCTCCTGTAGCAGGAGCGAGATCGTCAACTTGGACGAGGCGTCGGAGGAGTCTTTGTCAGTACTGGCGGTGCCTGGGTCGTCCTCTGTTTCCACGTGTCTTCGAGCGAACTTTATCGTTCTACTCTTCGTCCTCTCTTTCTCGTGCGAGAAGCCATCTTCTGTTTTCGAATGCACCACTTTCGGCGTCGACGTCGAGGCCAACGAAGCCTTATTGCTGTTACTGTTTCCATTGTCGTCTTTGTTGCTGTTGTCTCCGTGATTTTCCACTCACCGTCCGTTACCGGGGAACTCCTCGTTCTGCACCTCGACTTCTATGTCCTCGAAGCCGTGCAAATCCGCTGACAGAATGTGTTCGTCTCCCTCTGCATCGGGAGTCGTGATCTCGTCCTTCGGCGACGGAACCTCTTCGATGCGTGAGAAATCGTCAAGGGTCGTGACCGGAGCGTTCAACCTCTCCGCGTCGTCGGGCTGTGCCTTGTTTTCCACTGCCGGCGCGAAATCGTCCTCCGTGACCTCAACCTCCGTGTTCTCCCTGGCTGTCCGTTAATATATTAAACTTGTGAACGCCCGCTTGGTCTAATGACGAACGATTCCGTCTCTTACGAGTGGTCCCGGCCGATCGGCCCTTCATTTCGATCGTTATTACCAATCCGGCCCTTGTATGCTTTCCCTCACGGCCCTCGATCGCATTACCTCCAGGCCTGCGTTGTATCTCCCGAGTTCGCGAACGAAGTCTCTCCCGTTAAACTGGGAATGCGTCGCTCTATCCTCGACTATAAATCGGTTGTCGAGAGCTTCTATCTCGTCTACGCGGAGCTCACATTCGCCGGCTAACTTCACGAACTTGATCGCTACCCTTAGCCGTTTCACTGTTGTTTCTTTGTCGCAGGCTGACGGGACGCCGCCGTTCTTTCGGGATAACGAGAGAAAACCTGGTTGCACGTACGGCAAGGATTTGTTCCTACGCGCCTCGATGTAATTTATTACGCATTGGTTAAGCGCGTCGTCGAACTCCTCGGCCTCCCTGAAGGTCAGGATTTTTACCGGGGAATCCTCGTGGAACCACCGTTACCTGATGCGGGTCTCCGAACTCGTTTCTAACAAACTGACGATTCATCGCGAAAATTCTCAGAGTTTTCTAAACGTACGTAAAACAGAGAAGCGCTCCGGTATCGAGGATTAGCCTGTACAAATTATTGCTCCGCGCTCGCGCTCCGACCTTTTTACCTACTCTTCAGCTATCCCCTTCGTTCTATGCTCTGGCATGCAACGAACGTTGTCTAGGGCGTTGGCATTGGCCAAGGTGGCCCCTTCCGTCTGGTTTATCCCTCCTTGGTAAGCACCTGCCGTCTGCACCTTCATGGTATACTCTAGAGACTGGATTATCCCTTCCATGTTATGTTCGTGCCCTCTCTCTGGTTCCCGCTATTTCGTCTCCTTCCCTTGATTCCCGTTTAGTCCTTTTCATTCGCTCGTTCTTTATAATGGACAAATCGTGTATCTGGCCCTCTTGTCAGATAACGTATTCCTGTGTTCTGTGAAAGTTGTATAGACTTTGGTCAGTATCAGTTCACTTATCCGCCCAGTTCTTCTGGACTCGTGTTCGATCGATTTGTAACATTGTTTGGTCAGTGAGCCATATATTTTTGTTCAATTGTCCATAGTCCTGATTTCCGTCCCCATTCTACTTCCACCAACTGATTGACTCGCAAATCGATAACAGTGATCTCCGCCAATGATAATGATAATACCTTCTCCACACAGACGACAACGGTAGTAGTGATGGTAGTAATAGTTACATTGCATTAATGATAATGTTGAACGATGATACACGGTCGTGTTCCCGACGCTGCAAGCGAGTCGATGGATTCGTCAACCGATTGATTAATTGCAGACCGACAGACCCGGTCCATGGTCCTCGAGTTTTCCGCTCAAGGATTCGCCAATGATTCCTCGACTGTTCGCGACTGAATTCTACTTCTACCGACTGACTGACTCACAAGTCAGTAGCAGTCATCTCCGCCAGTAATAATAATAATACCTTCTCCACATAAACGACAACAGTATTAGTGATAGTAGTAATAGTAGTGATTGCATTAGTGATAATATTAAACGATGATACACGGCCACGTCCGCGACACTACGAGCGAGTTAATGGATTCATTAATCGATTGATTAATTATGGAGCGACAGACCCGGTCCATGGTCCTCGACTTTTTACTCAGAGGTTCGCCAACGATTCCTCGATGGTTCGCGACCCAATTTTACTTCTGCCGACTGACTGACTCGCGAGTGAATAGCAGTCATCTCCGCCAGTAATAATGATAATAATACCTTTTCCTCGCAAACGGCAACGATAGTAGTGATAGTAGTAGCAGTAATGATTGCGTTAATGTTAATATTGAACGGTGATGCGCGGTCACGTCCCCGACGCTACAAGCGAGTCAATGGATTCGCCGATCGATTGATCAATTGATTATAGGCCGACAGACCCGGTCCGTGGTCCTCGATTTTCCCTCGATTATCCGTTGACGGTTCCTCGATCGTTCGCGACTCTATCCTGCTTCTGCCGACTGACTAACTCGCAAATGTATCTGTGTCGATGGTAATGACAATCAGTATTGTTCATGAGAGTGCATCGTCGCGGACATTACTTCGGTCAGCAACAGTGGTAATATTAACGACAGTGATAGTCTTAATGATGGTACACGACCATGTTTCCGACCGTGCAGACTAGTCAATCTGACATTAGAGAATCTGATATAAGTGACAGTGACATTGATAATGATGTCCGTAGCGGCGGTGACAATCGTGACGGCGGTAAATTTCGCTTTAAAAGGGAGGAACAAGCAAACAGAGTAGACGCATGTGACGGCAAGCTCTGGCGGTTCGCGAGGATGTCTCCGATTGTTTTATATGTATATATGAGGCAAGTACGCGTCCTGCGCAAGGTTCGGGCCTTTCTAAGAATATACCTATGTTATACTGGATCTATCACGTTTGAAGCGTTCGCCTGGTCTACGAGTCTGCCGGGGGTTATCCGTGGCGAGTCGTTCGTCGTCCGTGTTTTTCCCGTGGACGTGCTCCTAGGTTGTACCACTCCGTCCTTGTCTCAGCCGCTCGGTCCATTCTTTTCCTATTTCCTCCGGTCCTCGTCGACTCCGTCGGTTCTTCGTTGCTCATCTATTTCCTCATTCCCCTAGATTCGTATGGAACGCAATGATCACGGGTTAATCGTATATAATTATTACGGTTTTAGCCGTACCATTCTTATCGCGGTCAGACCTTCCTCTTCCTGCCCGATCGTTGTAAAGGACAACGCGGTGTTCGGGTTAGGAGAGTATGTATATAAGTATGTATTCATTGTCTCACCGACCTGTCGCTCCGTGATTTACCGTGCGTTCCCTTGTTGCTCTCTCTCCTGGCGACTGGCTTCGCCGTCGGCTGTCTCTCTGCAACTTTTAGAGTCTCCTCCTGCAGCAGGAGCGAGATCGTCAATGTGGACGAAGCGTCAGAGGAGTCTTTGTCGGCACTGGCGATGCCAGAGTCGTCCGCGTGTCTTCGGGCGAACTTTATCGTTTTACTCTTCGTCCTCTCTTTCTCGTGCTAGAAGCCGTTTTTCCGTTTTCGAATACACCACTTTCGGCGTCGACGTCGAGGCTAACAAAGCCTTGTTGCTGTTGCTGTTTCCATTGTCGTCGTTGTTACTGTTGTCTCCATGGTTTTTCACTCACCGTCCACTACCGGGAACTCCTCGTTCTGCACCTCAACTTCTATGCCCTTGAAGCCGTGCAAATCCACTGACAGGATGAATTCGTCTCCTTCTGCATCGGGAGTCGTGATCTCGTCCTCCGGCGACGGAACCTCTTCAATGCGCGAGGAATCGTCAAGGGTTGTGACCAGAGCGTTCACCCTCTCCGCGTCGTCGGGCTGTGCCTTATTTCCACTGCCGGTGCGAAATCGTCCTCCGTGACCTCAATTTCCGTGTTCTCCCTGGCTGTCCATTAATATGTTAAACCTGTGAACGTCCGTCTGGTCTGATAACAAACGACTCCGTCTCTTACGAGTGGTCCCGGTCGATCGGCCCGTTATTATCAGTCCGACCCTTGTATATTTTCTCTCACGACCCTCTATCGCGCTACCTCCAGGCCTGCGTTGTATCTCCCGAGTTCACGAACGGTGTTTCTCCCGTTAAACCAGTAATGCGTCGTTCTATCCTCGACTGAAAAATCGGTTGTCGAGAGCCTCTTTCTCGTCTGCACAAAGCTCACGTTCACCGGCTAGCTTCCCGAACTTGATCGCTACCCTTAGCCATTCCACTGTTGCCTCTTTGTTGCAGGCTAATAGAATGCCGCCGTTCTTTCGGAAAAACGAGAGAAAACCCCGGCTGCACGTATGGCAACGATTTGTTTCTACGCGCCTCTATGTAATTTATTACGTACTGGTTAAGCGCGTCGCCGAACACCTCGGCCTCCCTGAAGGTCAGGTTTCTATCGGGGGATCCTTGAGAGACCACCGCTACTTGATGCGAGTCCTCGAACTCGTTTCTAACAAACTGACGGTTCATCGCGGAAATTTCAAAGTTTTCTAAACGCACGTAAAACAGAAAAGCGCTCCGATATCGAGGATTAATTCGCACAAATTATTGCTCCGCGCTCGCGCTCCTACCTTTTTACCTATTCTCCAGCTATCCTCTCCGTTCTATGCTGTGACATGCAACGAACATTGTCTAGGGCGTTGGCATTGGCCAAAACGACCCCTTCCGCCTGGTTTATCCCTTCTTGGTATACACTCGTCGCCTCCAGATTCACGGTATGCTCTATATATTGGATTGTCCCTTCCATCTTATGTTCGTGCCCTCTCTCTGGTTCCCGCTATTTCGTCTTCTTTCCTTGATTCCTGTTTAACCCTCTTCATTCGTTCGTTCTTTATAATATACAAATCGTGTATCTGGCCCCTTGTCAGATAACGCATTTCTGTATTCTGTGAAAGTTGTATAGACTTTGGTTAATATCAGCTCACTTATCCGCCTAGTTCTTCTGGACTCGTGTTCGATCGATTTGTAATATTGTTTGATCAGTGAGTCATGTCTTCATAGTCCTGATTTCCGTTCCAATTCTATTTCTACCGATTGACTGACTCGCAAATCGATAACAGTAATCTCCGCCAATAATAATAATGGTACCTTTTTCACACAAACGACAACGGTCCTGGTAGTAATATTAATAGTTGTATTACATTAATGATAATGTTAAACGATGATGCACGGTCACGTTCCCTACGCTACAAGCGAGTCGATGAATTCGTCGATCGATTGATTAATTATAGGCCGACAGGCCCGGTCCATGGTCCTCGAGTTTTTTACTCAAAGATTCGCCAACGATTCCTCAACTGTTCGCAACTCAATTCTGCTTCTACCGACTGACTGACTCGCAAATCAATAAGAGTTACTTCCGTCAGTAATAGTAATAATACCTTCTCCATGCAAACGACAACGATAGTAGTGATAGTAGTAATTATAACAATTACATTGATGATGATATTAGACGATGATACACGGCCGCGTCCCCGACGTTACAAACGAGTCGATGGATTCGTCAGTCGATTGGTTAATTATAGACCGACAGACCCGGTTTATGATCCTCGACTTTTTTACTCACAGTTTCACCAACGATTCCTTGGCTGTTCGCGGCCCAATTCTACTTCTACCGATTGACTGACTCGCGGATCAACAACAGTCATCTCCGCCAGTAATAATAATAATAATATGTTCTCCGCACAAACGACAACGGTAGTAGTGATAGTAGTAATAATAATGGTTATATTGATGATAGTATTGAATGGTGATACACGGCCACGTCCCCGACGCTACAGGCGAGTCAATGGATTCTTCAGTCGATTGATCAATTATAGACCGATAGACCCGGTCCATAGTTCTCGACTTTCCTACTCACAGTTTCGCCAGCGGTTCCTCGACTGTTCGCGACCCAATTTCTACTTCTACCGATTGACTGACTCGCGGATTCAACAACAGTCATCTCTGCCAGTAATAATAATTATACCTTCTCCGCACAAACGTCAACAGTGGTAGTAATGGTAGTAATGTTAATGATTGCGTTAATGATAGTATTGAACGGTGATACGCGACGGTGTTCCCGGCGCTACGAGCGAGTCAATGGATTTGTCGATCGGTTGATCAGCTATAGACCGACAGATCCGGTCCATGGTCCTCAACTTTCTTTTTCAATGATTCACAGACGATTCCTTGGTCATTTCCCGACTCGATTTTGCTTCTGCCAACTAGCTGGCTCGATTTGACGCGGATATATTAATGATGATAGCCGTAACAATCAGTGGTGGTCCTCTTCACGGATAATAATAATATTTTCCTCACGACGGTATTATTGACAAGAGTAATGGCAATAATAGTAGCAGTAGTGATGATAATGATAGTAGTTGATGGTTCATGGCCGCGTCCACGGTGTTGCGAACGCGTCAATCTATTCGCCGATCAACCGATTGATTATAGGCCAAGAGACTCGGTTCATGGTTTTCAATTTCTTCTCAGTAATCCGCTGACGGTTCCTCGATTGTCCGCGACTCTGTCCTACTTCTGCCGACTGGCTGGCTCACGAATATGTTTTTGTCAGTGGTAATGACGGTCAGTATAGATCGTGAGAGTGTTTCATTGCGAACATTGCCTCAGACAGCGACAGTGATAATGCTGTCGAAAGCGACAGTTTTAATAATGTCACACGACCACGTTTCTGACCATACAGGCTATTCAATCTAACGTTAGAGGGTCTGATAATGGTGATAGCGACAGTAATAATAATCATGTCAGTTCGATTCCGTCGGTCCTTTGTCGCTCGCCTATTTCCTCATTCTCTTAAATTCGTGTGGAACGTAATGATCCCGGATTAAGTGTGTATGATTATTACAGTTTTAACCGTATCATTGTTATCGCGGTCAGACTTTTTACCTTTTTATCCGTCATAACCGATCCTGTACAGTTTCGTTGAAAATCGCGTTAAAAGATGTACATATATATACACATACGTACATGCATATATGTATATATATGTCAATTCTAGTTCGACCTTTTACTCGTGGATGAATGTCTCGCCTTCGTTCTATTCGGATTAAGCGGTATCTTTTACGTCAGAGATGGGAGATAACCCATCCCGAGTCGTTATAAATCGGACTGCCAGGTGTTTGAGACGAATTAGACCGATCCCGGTCCCTGGCTAGCTACTTTCCTTTCCTCTCGCCCGATCGTTGTGACGGACGACGCGGTGTTCGAGTTAAGAGAGTATGTATATTAGTATATATTCATTGTCTCACCGACCTGTCGCTTCGTGATTTACCACGCGTTCCTTTGTTGTTCTCTCTCCTGGCGGTTGACTACGCCGTCGTCGGTCTCTCTGCGACTTTTACAATCTCCTCCTGCAGCGGGGGCGAGATCGTCAACGTGGACGAGGCGTCGGAGGAGCCTTTGTCGGCACTGGCGTGCGTTATGTCTCTCAAGTTCGCGAACGGCGTTCCTCCCGTTAAACCGGGAATGCGTCGCTCTACTCTCGATCAAAAGTCGGTTGTCGAGAGCTTCTTTCTCGTCTACTCGAAGCTCACATCCAGCGGCTAACTTCGCAGACTTGATCACTACCCTTAACCTTTTCACTGTTGCCTCTTTGTCGCAGGCTAATAGAATGCCGTCGTTCTTCGGAAAGACGAGAGAAAACCCGGTTGCACGTACGGCAGCGATTTGTTCCTACGCGCTTCGATATAATTTATTACGCACTGGTTAAGCGCATCGCCGGACTCCTCGACCTTCCTGAAGGTCAGGATTCTATCGGGGAATCCTTGAGGGACCACCGCTATTTGGTGCGAGTCTTCGGACTCGTTTCTAACAAACTGACGATTCATCGCGAAAATTTCAAAGTTTTCTAAACGTACGTAAAACAGAGAAGCGCTCCGATGTCGAGGATTAACCCGTACAAATTATTGCTCCGCGCTCGCGCTCCGACCTTTTTACTTACTCTCCAGCTATCCCCTCCGTTCTATGCTCTGGCATGCAACGAACGTTTTCTAGGGCGTTGGCATTGGTCAAAGCGGCCCCTTCCGCCTGGTTTATCCCTTCTTGGTATACACCCATCGCCTCCACCTTCGTGGTATGCTCTATATACTGGATTATCCCTTCCATCTTATGTTCGTGCCCTCTCTCTGGTTCCCGTTATTTCGTCTCCTTTCCTGTAAAGTCATAGCTTGATTGATTGATCTTGATTAAAATCTAGGCAGTTAATCTACCGGTTTACCTTGATTCCCGTTTAGCTCTCTTCGTTCGTTCGTTCTCTATGATAGACAAATCATGTATCTGGCCCCTTGTCAGATAACGCATTCCTGCATTCTGTGAGGGTTGTATAGATTTTGGTCAATATTAGTTCACTTATCCGCCCAGTCCTTCTGGATTCGTGTTCGATCGATTTGTAGCGTTGTTTGATCAGTGAGTCCTATGTGTTTTTGTTCAATTCTCAATAGTCCTGGTTTCTGTTCCACTGTTAGCCTCGTCGTTTCTCCCGTGATTCATTCCTTGCGTTTAGAATGAGAAGAGGAAAGGAGAGGATGTATCTGTTAATCAGTTATTTAATTCGTATCTAGCCCGTTATTGATCATATCCCTCGAGCGTTTGTTATCTTTCCAAGCATGATTTTATCGTTTATTCATTGGTTTTCCGACGCTGCTTTTCGCTCGGGCGAGGTTACCAGTCAGATTCAAGCGTCGTAGCCGCTCTTTCTTTCTTTTCGCTTCTTTACACAAACCAGACGTGCTGCGATTCGATCCTTTGTGCCTATCTCTAATGTGTCTCCTTTTAAGAGGAAATAGTAGCAGGTCATCCTCAGCTTTTGGGTTTCTAAATTTTCTTTGTTAATTTTTGTTACTCTCTTCTTCGCTGTCTGCCTACAATGACATTGCTCGGAAGGAAAACTTTTATTATTATTATTATTATTATTAGTTTGTCGATCAATCCATTTTGCAACTCTCTGATATTAGTACTCACGATCGAAGCGATACTTGACCCTGGTCCGTCCCCCGAAAAGTCTTCAACATTCGCTCTCTGTATCTTTCCTGACAGCACGGCTAATTATCAATTCATAGGTCGCATTGTCTTGAGCAGGATTCGTTCGTTTGTCGCTATTCAGTCCTCTTCCTCTTTGTTCCATTGACCTCACGTGCGTAAATTAGTTCACCTTTTGTTAAGAATTTAGATGGATAGATAAATAAGTGGGTGTATAAGTGATTCTTCCGTGTCTATCGTTATCTTGATACCTTTAATTATTGTTATTAGTATTATTATCAACGTCGGTTCATAACCGCAGTGTCCATGGATTCATTTCAGGTCTTATAATATCATTGTCTATGAACGACACGTTTACCATTTTTTAGATGCTGAATTACTTACTGTCTGATTCGTATGAAACTTAATCGTGCTTCAATCCTTCCCGCAGCTTGATAATGCAATATGGCCGACTGTTGACAGGCCATATTCATTCTCATTGTTTCCATACCTGGTGGTCTCATCGGGTGCGGGAACCCCTTCTCAGGTAGCTTCGCTTAACCGTGACTCAGTCATTGTTTGCCGATCACTTAACCCTTTTATCGATTCATACCGTGCGAAACGTGACTGTTGTCATGTCAAGTCAAATTTTTGGAAACACTGTAAGCAGTGTTTGAATTCCGATCGATGACTGATCTTGATCGTGCGCAAATTCAAATCGTGCTCCGTGTTCATCAATGTTGGTTTCTCATCCTTGCTTCGATTGTTCACCAGGTACGCCCGTTTGTTCGACATCCATGCTGATTCCCGCTTTCTCCTGCTGTTATTATGTTCACTTGTTATTACAGCTATTCCCGTGCCCACATCAAGAGCAGCATCAAGGGAGAGGGTCAGCAGCGGCGACAACAACAACAGAGGCTGGCCGTCGCTCACGTTGTTCATCGTGTTCATTTAAATTTTCTATCGTTTCAACTGGATCAGCGTGTCTCGTTTAGACCGACGATATATCTGTCTAAATCAGTAATAGTCATCAGTTCTGGATCATTGTCGAGACTGACCGTGTTTCGCGGTGCTTCAAAATATATCTGACCCAGTGCGTCTGACCCGTGCGCTACAAAGGATGGGATAAGAGATATTGTGTAGAAACGTTCTCTGAATTAAACCCTCTTTTCGCTTTTCAATACGAGCCGTTAGGATGTCTAACCGTCTCTTTGCAAACGTCACGAGGAGTGTCACGGAATATACAGAGACCGGGCGATTAGGTAGTTTATCAAGCATCTTGTTCATACGATTATTTATTTGTTCATCTGTCCCTCGATTAATTGTTTCCTTTCTTATTGTTCTAGATTCGTTTCTTATCTAGACCTTTTCCCCTCTGGGTGGTTCATCACGTGTTTTCGAGCTGTCATCTCTATCAATTGTAAGTGCATAAAGGAGGTATTTTCGATCAATAATTAAAAGAAAGTTGAGTGTTTGTTTTACAGCGTGTCGTTATTAATTGACGCTCTCGCCTTTTATTACGTATTAACTTTCCGCTGTTCCTAATCCTGACATATGCTTGTGTACCGAGTCTCCCTCCCCCGACCAAGGATTTTTCATTCGTACTTTTCCCCATTCATTGTCCCATTTATACCTCCCTGTCTCGTTAAACGGTCTGTTAGCAACGCGTTGGCCTCGATGCTCGAGAGAAATTGAGCCAGTTCCTCGGTTTTTACCAGTATGTTCTCTCGCTGTGTTTTATGATTGTTCAAACCGTGTGTTGTTAAAACAGATAATCAATGGATCAATGGATTTCATATTTAGTTTATCGGTAATTCGGCTTGTTTGTTCGCGTCGTATCACTGTATTTGAATAATATTATTACATTACCTTGTGATTCGTCTTGTTTCCTTTTTGCCGCTTGTGGTGGCTCGTGTTGCATCCTTCCGCGTTTTTCAATATTAATTGCCGTGCACCACCGATGGACACATTGTTATTGTGATTTACCGTTAATAGGCGTTACGCGTTGTCCTCCCGTTATTACTGGTTTCCATCTGTATGCAAGATCTCCCTGCACATGCTGAATCTCCGTGTCGTTCAACGGTCCGTTCGCTGTGAAAAAAAAGGAACCTTTATCAGCTTTCACTTTTGTCTAACAATATTCAACTTTTCACCTATGGTTGTTCATTCAAGTAAATTCTCATATATTTATAACAGTTGTTAGTTACCTTGTAATACGTCGCGTCTCCTTTGTCGTTTCTTCGTTTTACAGTGTAGTTTTTTCGAGCTGTTTGGACTCTTTTCAATGCGCTTCGAGTCACTTGATAGTTCACAAGTTTTATTCCCCCTCATCACTTCGTTTCATTTGTGTTTTGTGTTGTTGTTTTTGTTTGTTTTTTTTTTTTTGTATCGGCGCTTGGACCTTTTCTTCTCGTTGTCATTATTTCTTGTTTCGTATAAATCACGACACTTCGTTCCGGTTAGATGGTTTTATTCTTATCAATTTCACCATTGGTGTTATCATTCTATTATGTTCATTTATTCATCCATCATTATTCGACCGAGGTCCGTTCCGTTTGGACGTGTGCGGTCAAGCTGCTTATTGGTCGATCTAGCGTTCTTGTTACAATTATACCATTCGTAGTTTTTGTCTCCTCTTCTTTTCTTTTCTTTTCTTTCCTCTCAATCCTTGAAGGGTGATTTTCCATTTGTCAGCTCGGTACTATTTGTTCGACTATTGGCGCGTCTTCCGCAAGTTGTCTGTCACTCTCGGTCTCCCCTTTACTCGACCGGTCGTTATTGCGCATCAGTTTTCCGCTGTTCCTAATCCTAACGTATACCTGTGCACCGAGACCCCCTTCCCCGATCAAGGGTTTTTCACTCATACCTTTTCCATTCATCGACTCATTTATACCTCTCCGTCTTATTAGACGGTCTCTTAGCGACGTATTGGCCTTGATGCCCGAGAAAAATTAGAGCCTGTTTCTCGATTTTTGTCGGTAAGTTCTCTCGCTCTATTTTATAATTGTACGACTGTTTGTTCTTAAAAGGGATGATCGATGGATCAGTCGATCTCATATTTAGTTAATCGATAATCCTGTTGCTTACCCTGTTTCTTGTACTGTTTTCGGCTTACTTTTCAATTCATTCCGTTATTGAACATTAATATTCGCGCAATACCACGTGCCCTTCTAACCCTATTAACACTTCGTGTTTTACTCATTGCGAGCGAGAGATAATTGTATATCCCATGTTTCAATTCCCGATCCGAGATGATTATTATTATTTGTTCCCGGATTCGTATGTTTTCGCGAGACTTTCATTTTCTCACTGTTCCCGTATTCATCCGACCGGCCATTATTACGCATAATTTCCCTAATCTCGACGTGTACCCGTGCGTGCAATCCCCTCCCCGGTCGGGGTTGCCT